ATAAACAAAAAGGAGTACAATATAACAGTTACTGTTAGAATTAAGTACAATAATAAATGTTTCCATTTCACCAATTGTAATATCTTCGTAAAACTATGCCACTACAAGCTCGTCTACTGTTACCACTGTTTCTGTGGAGTATGCTGCTATAAGCTTTGCAGAGTAAAGAGCTCTCCCAAAGGAAAAATTAGATAATGTAAATGAATGGATTAGTCCAAAAGCTAAAACTAATGAGATAACTACAGGAAAATACCAGGCAGTAAATTAAAAGAAACCCAACCCAAACAAAATCTATAAACATCACTTTTGAAGAAGTTTTATTGTTTCCTAGTTCAAATACTTAAAATCCACAGGAGTCAGAAGAAAATGACGGTGATAAAACATCAAGCAGATGGTCCGGAGTTAGTCGGATCTGCCACCAAGATTGTATTACCGATTAGGGTTCTGGAGTAAATATTACTAAGATAATAAGGTTTGGTCAGTGGGTTGGAGACAAAAGCCGATGAGATAGGATTTTGAAGCTAGTACTTGGAAGTGAAGAGGAAAGGATGAATTTATCAATGACGCACACAAAACTCATAATTCGAATATTGGAATCCAGCCTGGTTGCCCACATAAAGATCTACTCAAATGAGAGAATGCTTCCACCGAGTTAAAAACTAGAAAACAAACCTCAAGATCCAGTGTTTTTGGGTAGTCAGTTCATGCTAATCATTGCTTTAGATCCCTGTGCAGATAAGATGATTTATTCCCAGAAGACTGAAAATCTGTAACACAGAATTTGGAGAGCAGTTAGAAGTGAGGCTGATCATCAAAATCATTATCATTAACAAGCTGACGTGGATGAATTAGCCAGGAAGTCCCATAGTTGAAGGTTTGACATTATTTCTTAAAAGAATGTGACTGTGAACATACGAAATGACATTAGTTAACGGTACATCGCCCCAAAGTATTTAGGAACAAAGAAACCTAGAATTAAGAAAACAAATGCACATTGTAAGACAGGATTTATCGAAGGTTCTCAGGTGTTATGGTCTTTTCAACGAGCATCTAAATGTCCTGACGAGTATATGTTTCCAGTTATGTACCGAATCTATGTGAGATCTCACCTCGAGTATTGCAGTCAAACAGCTCGATCACGTCTAACAAGAATAACATAGCACTTAAGCTTACCAATCGTGTGTGAACTAAGCTAGTGATGGGTCTTACCCAACTCCCTTATGATGAACGCTTGAAACACCGTTTACCCCCCTGTATATAAATATACGTATCTTATGTTGGAATTTTGCATCATGTGAAATTATTTAGATGTCAAGATGTCTTTACTTTTCGCTTCCTCTAGAACTAACATTCTCTGAGTCCACTTCAAGAGGGTTTATAAGCCATGATCGAATAAACGCGAAATGAAATTCCATTTTTCTCATCGAGTGCTCGATTCGGTGGTATTAGCCTCATAAGTGAACACTTTTAAAAAGATGAATCTAAACTTAAAATAATATGCAAAGTTTAATATAGGTCGACCGAACCCTCACCTTTATTACTGAGGCTGAAATCGATCCAATAAACATAGAAATGCTAACGTCACAACTGTTAACTCAAAACGCGCGCTTATCCCGAAAAACAATTTTAGTGATATCTTCGTTTAATCACACGAAAATTCGAAATTCAAGCAACGTATGTCCTCATAATGCGTTTTTTCGATACAGAACATAAGCTCTAACGAAAGTTTTTTTATCCCTATTGTTTAAGTGTGTATCGGCCTTCGGTTCAGCACGTTTTGACTTTGTGCATCTATCATGTAAGTACCCGTTCGTCGCTAGGATTAACGGTTATTTCGTATCACTTTATGTTACTAATTTGTCTACGGTTTTACTAGTGAAATGATAATTTCATTAAAGTGCAATGCTTTTTTTCCAGGACTACCTTTGGTGCGAAACTGGAGCACCTCTTATGTTCCAGGGCTGAAATAATTAGCCGAATGCACAGACCCCCGCCAGCCGAAGGGAATGATTTGGAACGTCTCTTAAACCTGCCTCCAAATACAAATCCGCCAATACAGGCACCACCACCTAATGTACCAGTTTGGCCGGATGAACAGGCTGCAGCATTTTGTGCTGTTGCTCCTCCTATCGAGACATTCATGGATGTTCCTGATGAAATACGCCGGGACCAATTTTATGCTGTAAGCTAAGTTTTACTCATAATTCAGGTTAGGTTTAGCGGTCACTTTTATTTTATTCGTCCTGTATGAGTGATTGCCTCGTTATGTATTTATAGTCACTCATCTGTACACAGAAAACTACAAGTCTTTTTGCTGGTGGTAGAAAGACAACGGTGTTCTGTGCTATCGAGTGCCTAGGCAAAACCATTATTCGCTTCATCTACATCTTTAGATTTTAAAATACTAGTAGTTGACTTCGCTCGTAAATGATGGTTTCAAAACAATATTTTAACATTGGAAGCCCTTTCTGGCCAGTCATAAGTGAATTCGTCAAATGCTTTTCGACAAAGGTAATGAGATTTGTAAGAGTACAGTATCAATCTTAACGTTTATCTTTGGATTGCAGGAATCTCGCTACGTAATGTGAACGGTGCAAATAAGTCGTCGATGATATCTTTTGTTTAGATCTATCTCATACTGTTTAAGCTTCATGAAGCTTCATAAGCTTCACAAAATCTACCATGAACTCGATAAAGCTATAAGATCATGAGTGGAATTTGTTCTCACTTTTAGCATTCCTACTCTATTAGCTCAGTTCTCTACTAATAAAGCCTATTGTCTGAATGCTTGATATAACAACTGAAGTTATAAACATTTTCTGCTTTAGAGAAAGCGATTATTTGGAGTGTTCCACACTCGCTTTTACTATGCGTTAAGTAAGGTTTTTCTCAATAGTTTTTAACGGTTTATTGTATCGAAGTATTTTGTATGGTATAAAGTAAAAGCCACTAGTCTGTTGTGTTGATCTTAAAACAGGAAATAAGTTTTCAAGAAATATAAATACAAAGTTAATGATCTAATTGATGGTAACTTGGCGAATATAGCACTTCATTTTTAACCATTAAACTAGATGTTAAAACCTTGTTCTATCCATTCTAGTTTCGGCATCCTCATTGTCGCTAACACCGAAAGTATCTCAGAGTCAAAAGCAATTACAGTGGTACTGAATCACAGCTGTTCACTAGTCCAAAGTGATTAGTTCAAATTAGTTAGTTCACCTGCTGTAAACACTAAACCCTTTTTTTGAATCGTATACTAACTCTCAACCATCGATCGTAATATACTATGAATCCCATCTATGCTGTTTGACACCATATCATGATCAGTTTGGGATTTCACTATTGTTCAGGTTTTAAAGAGCATAAATGTCTTTTTATCATACAGACCAGGATGATGATAAGGTTATCCTCTTAGTATACATAAAGAATTGAAAATACTCCCGTATTCATCTCTATAATTTAATCCCACTGTATCGACGTAGCAATTTGACCCCATATAGCTCGTGGATTTACCTAATGTTTATACTGTTTGAGAGTAGTAGCTAAATGACTAAAGTAACTAAATTACATCCAGTAGGTCTCAGGTCTAAATGCCGTTTCACCTACTTCATTTCTGGCAGTCAGATAGGATCATCGCATAAATAGCTTAGAACTGAGTGCATAAACCCGTATTCGATAAGTGGAAACATGTATACTGTTCACGAATGTTGTATGTATTTTTTGCTAATATTTCGATTTCTAATCAAATGTTTCTTTTTGCATTAGACATGTCGACGTGATGATGTACTAGTTGGTGTTATCAGTGTAATACAAGACTCCGGTCTTGTTGTCTCTATTCTGGCATATGATCAAGGACCTCGGCGTGATTTTGAAGGTCTCAAAATTACGGTAATTGTCTTTTTACCAATCTTTATATGTTCGTTCTTTAGGGCTTTTGTCCATTGCGACAGCTTCCGCGATATAATGCTCACGGCAACGCTTTGGATGCTTTTCAAATCGGTGATAAAGTTCGTGGTGAGTAGTTTTTTGTGACTTTATGTGCATGTTCTTGTATTACTGATCATCTAGGTGTTTACCAGGTAACACGCATAAGGTTTTGTATGCTGAAAAGCGGGGTGTGTGTTTTGTAAGAAGTGTCAGCGATTCCTAGCTGCTAACGAATAACTAGAATATACAAACACTACCTGGCGGTTGACAATCCACTTTTTGAATCGTTACGGGCATCGTTAATTAAATCAAATCCTTATGGTATATACCAGTTGTTTGTCTTGAAATCCGTAATACACAATACCTAACCACTCAGTAGTTGGAAAAACTCGCATCTCTAAACTATCCCGCTGATCTTATATTAGTTTGAAATACAATGTAGTGAATACCATAGTCCGATTATTTCACATCTTTGGACGCTCGTTTCCATCCATACTTTATTTAGTAAACGGTAAACTAGCAGATCGGCCGTTTCTCTACAAACCACATCTTAAATAAGCAGTTGATACTTAACTTTGATTTCATCAATAACTGATAAATTAAATTTACTATTTTAAAAATTTCCATTATAGCATTTATTCTCGACATTCATGGAGGTGGACGTCTAATATTAAGCATGAATGCAAAGATGCTTAATCGTGATATCTATGGAGATTTGAAGCTGGTAAGTTGAAAAATTGCAATCTAAGCCAATAATCTTCCTTTTTATGTCCCATTATCTCTATTTATCAATTCTTTTCCATTTGTTTTTTCTAGGGTATCATAACTGATGATGATATGCCTCTGTATTACAAGTAAGTACATTTAAAAATTTTTAAAAATATTTCAATAAACATTTTTAATCATGAGTTTACCACGTATATTTTAAACACCCTTTGTGTTATGGTGTAGTTGTGATCGATTTTCAATTAAAAATGGTGATATCATTGTTCCTCACGGTTTAGTACACAAATTAGTCTGGGGCTGCCAATATGTATTTCAGATGTAACATATAACCTACTACTGAATTGTCACACCTTACAGTATAACAAGTGTAAGTTGAAAGTGAGGAAAGAGCAAAGATTCCAACTAAAAAGACATTATAGATGGATGCATCTTACTTAGTTACCACTCTGCTCCAACCTACTCTTTCCTGGGCCTACCTTTTCAATTCTATCCAACTTTTGTTCATTCTTCTCATATCTTTCTCTATTTCCTAAGAAACTCGACTTTCATCATGAAACGTCATAACTGTTCTGAAAGAAGACCTAACTCCCAGGGCAGAGTTAAAACTGTTTGAATTATGTTTCTTGGTTAGCGTTTTCTCAGTGAGTTAGTTTTTTTTTATGGGATAGGGTCGTCAACCTCGTGCCCGACTCTCCCCCTTTATCCGGGCTTGGGGCAGGGAGTAGCTCCAGAGAGGCTTCAGGCGGAGTTAGGTGGATGTATCTGGTTTCCAGGAATTGTTAAATAATACAATGTCAATAGTAAAACTGACATACCGAAATTTTCTGAGTAAGTAATTCCTAGGTTAGGAATAGGTTACAGCGTAAGGTCCTGCTGATTAATTTACTTTGGTATCAATTGTCTTTCAGTTGTTTCGGTAATCCACAAAATTAAATAAGACCAACTTTTGAGGAAAAAATTCATTTTGAATGTCAATGGTTGTTTACATTACAATCTGTTGTTTAAAGTATTGAATTCATATTCCAGTTTGACTTGATGTAGTTGATATGTTTGTTTTATTTTTTTTCAAAAATTTCCTAGTAATTAATTAATATTACTTAAATTTTGTCCTAACATTTCCACTCTTATTATGTTAATTTTGTGAATTAGAAAACTTCAAAATTTGGACGGAAAATCGTATGAAGCCTATCTTGAATCAACACCGCAATTTCGTAATCCAGATGGACTACAAGTTCTATGCGCTCGTATGGGAATACCACGTTCATCAGCTTGTAGTCTACTATTTTGTATTAATAAGTAAGATTACGTAGAGGCATTTATCATCTATAGTCTACATGAAATACGTACTATTGACATTTTATTTTTACCCATGTATTTTTAACTTGTTCTGTGCATCGGTTAATGATTTAGAAATTGCAGAAAAAATAATCCAAACTCTGTGTTGACACTTGGATAACCACATATTTTTTTTCTTGTTTGTAGAATCCGATTACCAAAATCCGAAATGGCTTGTGAATTGAGACGTACTCAGTTGTTGAATTTCTCAATGAAACAGTAAGTATTTTTATGTGTTCTATTGTCAATGCGGTTCTAATGTAATCATCAGTGTTACGTGTCGCTAACCACCGACTGCCTCGACAAGCTATGTTTTGTTGTGTAGGAGTAGGTTGGAAGAAAGCTAGGGGCGACCAAACCAAAACATGGCAGAAATACATGAAATCACTGACAAGTGGACTAAGTCATGTTCGTAGGTGTAGGTTACTTGGTTGGGGTCCGCGAGACGAAAGTCACTGATGGTTAGAGACCTTGAATGACATGGCTCAAAATTGTTTGCAATGGCACAGGTTCATCCATTCATTGTGTTCTCTCAAATTCTAACCTCCTAAATTCCTCATCGTCTCTTTCTAAATTTATCTCACTGAATTATACTCCTGAATCATATCTTCGAACCCTAACCTTCTCCACTACCAGTAATACTTTTAATATCTCTACCACTATTAGATTTGAACTGAAAGTTGCGTTTCTGTGCTGATGTGGTATGGCAACCTGAACTGATGTACTTACGTACGAAGTTCTGCGTTGTATCTGTCTCTTTGTCTGTCTGAGTGTAATAATCATCTTAGTTAAAACAATAACAATAATATCAATATTACAGCAGCATCCCTACTATCCAATCTTAACTAACCCTTTATAATTTATCTTTCATTTTGTTATTAGTGTCGCTCAAGGTGTGAAATATTTCAAAGAAAGTCGAAATACTGAAGCATTACAATGTTACAATTTTGCAATTGAAGTTGAACCAACTAATCCAGATGCCTATGTTGCCCGTGGTGCTCTGTAAGTTGGTTACATCAGTATTTGTGTTGTTCAAATTATATATTGATATTGATCCAGTGTGTAGGCTTGTAATCATGATCTAATTATATTTCATTTTGGACTTTTTTTTGGTAGATGATATATATTCCACTGTATATATATATATATATATATATATATATATATATATATATATGTTTATCATTAAAATATGTTTAACGTTCGTAGCTGGATAACGTTTTTTTATTTTTAAAAAAGACAAAGTAAACAGGTAGTTATAATAGTTAAACAATCGTGTATTAATATGTATTGAATTATCGCACAATTTAATGGCCATTTCATTGTTTTTTTTTTAACTAAACCTGCTCGTATGATGCCTGTAAGTATCAAAGAAGCTCCATAGCCGAATAAAGCGCAACAGTAAATTAACCCTCTTAACTAATTCGGTTCGGGCAACCAGGTTTTGTTTGTGACCAGTTTGGTCTCGCGTGCTGTTACGGGTATGAGGGCGGTTGTCACTTCCCGGCTGCTCACACTGTGGAAGGGTGTTTCTTGAGTAACCTGAAAAGGAAGGTAGATTAGTGTCGGTCTTAAAGACCTAGGGGCGTGACCGCAGAACACAGCGGACAACTGCTTAGGGCCAGTCACGCACAGCCTCTACATGGATAGTATTTAAAGTGTTAGCTCCCTTCTTGTTTAAAAGACCTTACTACCGGAGACGGAAATCCGTGATGTAGGGTGAGGTGTGACATTCTTAGGGTTGAAGTTTCCTTTTATTTCCCTCCCATTGTGAGAAGGCAGCATCGCTGCAGATTCTGGTTGTCCGAGGGAAACACCATATTGCTGTCACATCCCTCTACAGTACGACTTCACCCTCGGACCTTGAGTAGCTGCTTTTAGTCTCATCGTTCTCCAATCGACCTGTCTGGCATGGTAGAACCTTCAGGAACATATGTTCCAGCCAATATAGCTCGGTTGGGTGATCACGATAGGCAAGCCGGACCACCACGTCAAGGTAGCAGCTATAATCAGGCAACCCGGTAGTATCATCATACTTATGATATGATTCGAAGCCAAATACACGACCTTATGTGCGCGCCTGGTAAATGGACTAATGGGAGAAATAAGCAATTCACTCTGAACAGACGAATACCATTAGTAGTAGTTGTAGTATCCTAATAATCTTTACTTAGTTTTTATGTACTTATATGTTATATATTCTTTTTATTTTATGTTCATAAAGTTATGCCTCAATCGGTACGTACACAAAAGCAGTAGAAGATTTAGAGAAAAGTCTTGAAATTCAACCGAATCATGTGAATGCTAAGAATTATCTGGTCCAGACACTAGTTGCCTATGCTGGCGAGTAAGTTTTGTAATTTGTGTGTTAAGTACGGATAAAATCAAAAAATTACGATATTTAATGTTATTATATCTATCTATCTGTCTATCTATCTATCTTTCTATGTATATCATATATCTAATGTGCATCACTTGTAGTTGTCACAACAATTCATTAGAGAAGAATACTAACAAGAAGAAAAAGAAAGCGTAAGTCATCATGATTATGATGAGAAAATTAAACATTGGGAACGAATTTTATCACAAGAACTAGTAGTAGCATTCATATTCACTTGATGGGGGATGAATTTATTAAACTATGCAAACTGACTAAATCTCATCATCTATTGGCAGTAGTTGACATAAATATGTAGGAGATGAAAAATACTTTAGAAAAATGCTTACAAACATTGATTCCCTAAAGGAAAATCATTTGAAATTATTCACGCGGCTTTCCCATTACTTTCAGTAAAGCGTGAACGTGTAAACGTAATCTTCTGATCGAAATCATCAATCAACATCAATAGCAATGGATGCCGGCCCAGTGGTCCAGAGGTTAGGCGTTCGTGCGCACGACCGAATATCCTGGGTTCGAATCTTTTGAGATGCTGGAGTCGTAGAAGCTCACTGTTGATGAGTCCTATGCCAGGACGAAGCGGTCGTCCAGTGTTTCCAGGTTTCTAATGACGATCTAACAATAATTGATTCATGAAACACTAATCTCCATAACTGTAATTGAAAAAAAAAATAAACGTAATCTGTTAATTGGGACGCAAATATGATTAGGATGATAATTACTAGTATTGTAGCTTGATCCTATTGGATGCATCGTACTGATGAAGAAACTAAAAGTAGGATTTCGCAGCTCTCAGCTATTGCAAACAATCGCAACTATCCTTCTTTGAAAACGAAAAATAGCAAGGTTGAAAAAGGGCTGGATAAAGCCAGTCGACCTATCATGTATAAAATTGATTTTTTGATCTCTAGTCACAGAATTTTACTGCTTTTTTTGTATTTGGCATCTATCTCACACAAAAAACGCGTTGACTGCAATTTGAAATCAGTAATGTAAAAGCTTCTTTAGCTGTTTGACTAAATAGCTTCTTTATATGTGCGTGTGTAAAATGTTATTATTCTTTGCAGAATTGGGCGTAAGGAAATAAGCAAGGCAGAACAGTTGTTGAATCGCGCAATCAAATTGGATCCTGACAATAATGAAGCTCGAGATGCATTGAAAGAACTCCAGACTAATGGATCTCTTTCTAATAACAAAGATGCTGGTTTGGTATGTAGATAATGATGATAGTAGTTATAATAGACTTTTATGTGTTCTTATCGGATATTATCTCATATTCATAAGTTGTGATTCCTTTTTGTCGTATAGCGATCCTGGTCACGAACGCCTTCTCCACGCGGTTCAAGTCGAAATATAGGTGGTAACAGACGTGATCACACTCCTCTTTCGCCAACTGCCGTTCGTCCAAGTGCAGGTTATGCCTCTCATATGGAACGTAGCAGAGCTGCTCTAGAACAGCTCGTTGAAGAAGATCGTAGTCGGCGTGCTGCTAAAGAAGCTAATCGTCAAAACCACGCACCGGACCATAGTCCTCCAGGATTTTTGTCTCCCAGTAAGTGTAGCATTCCTTTGTTATTTCTGTACCAGCTATATCACAGTGTACTCTAGTGATACATTTTCATATGGTTTTCAAACTTACATTGTAATTTGACTTTTAATTTCAGACCGCACCCATGAACGACGAAGAGGAGATTATTATCGTGATGATGTAAGCATTATTTATTAGGATTTTGTCTTTTCCATGTTGATATTCTGTTGGGAAATCGATGTTGTTGATTAACAGTGATTGTACTGTCTCCGGAAAATTCACACACTAACTAGCTGAACTAATCCTTCTTGTTTATCACAAGTAACGATACTGTCAATTGCTGCCCGTAAAATCGTAGTGCATTTTAAGTGTGAATACTAAGTACTCTTTACTTGTGTTTCTATTTTCTCGTTTCACAAACAGTGAACATATATATATATATATATATATATATATATATATATATATATATACATCTGTGCTATTGAGACTGATTCTTAGCCATACTACACGAATAGTATTAAGTATATAGTAAAGTATATATTAGACAAGTTGCTGTCGCACTAATCACAACAGCAAGACAATATTGTTTACTGGATAACATCTAGTAAGATTATCATCAGAAAAAATAGTGATAGGGTATTTGATTGATATAGTTTGAATTGCTCTTATTCGTGTGTGTTAATATAATGATGTCAGCCATATAGGATGCTACTGAAGTGACGTAAGTTAACTTGTATTGTATAAGTCAGTCAGCTACAACGTAGAACTTCGTATGTACGTGCATCAGTTCAGAGACGCCGTTGTCAATTGTATTATATCAAGTAGTTCAACACAGTACAGTACAGTACCAAGTAATTATATTTTTGTGATTTATATTCATTTATTTGTTTAACATATGCATGTTCTCATTTTCTATGTTTAAATGCATGCATTCTAGCCTATACACACACACTACTGACCTAATCCTCTTATCTTCTTAATGAATATTTTACTAATCAAAAACGAGTTTTCGTTTTTTTGTAGAGCGATTAAAATTGTTCTATGTGAAGCACAGGAAATGAAACAGAGCAAAATGGCTCTGAGCAATACTAGCTAGTATATATATATACATATATACATATATATATGTGCGTATTTATATATGTGGAAATGATAGGGACAGTGGTGTATGGTGAAAAAAATATGCTGCTAAATTCTTCACATATCCCTGTGAGTATACCTCTCTCTATATATAAATACGCTGGTGCATATAATAAATTACAGAGTAAAACTCCAGAGGACTATCTCTCCTACATATTATTTTTTCACACTATTGTCGGTGGAAACCAAGAAATCAAAAAAAAACAGCCCTGTTTTTTTAGAGATTTTCACCATACTACTACTAATACTACTACTCCGAATATTTGTATGATTAATAATTGTTGGATCCAGAAATTTCAAGTCAGCTGAATTGTTTTTCTATTCTGGAAAAAGAAAAACAGGTGCTTTTATTTCATAATTATTTAGCTTTCATTTATTTCAGAGCTAGCGCCTATAACAAACTTTAAATTTCTTCAAGAAAGCAACCATCTCATCACATCATTCAATTAATTCTTTGTCAATTTGAATAAAACCGGAGGAAGGAAATGGTTCATGGAAGATTCAGTGATTGATTGATACATGCGTTGTTATTGCTAAATATCAACAACAATCATTGTGAAAGAGTGTATCAACCATGTGTGTAGTACTCCAATAATTATTCTTCTTCTTTTAGATTTAATAGATATTTTTATTGTAGATGACGAGAAATAAAATGGTTTTTTGCTAAAAACAAAAATTTGAGTCCGTAGAGCGCGCGCGTACGCGAGAGAGAGAGGAAAACTGTTATAGAACGTAAAATAAATATTGATTACCATCGGGTTGTTGTTATCTGATCATCATCTGTTGCCTGATTTATGAAAATGCCGATTGAAGAAGGCCTAGAACTAATTATTTCTGTATATATATTTAAGAAAAAGTATATCAGTATGTATACATATTTTTGCAAGCCAAAAAAAATCATTCTTTTGCAGCAATCTCTGCTGATTAGAGAGAGGGCAAGTTTATGCGTTCGTTTTTAATTAAACACAACTAAACAACGGGATTTAATGTTGTATGCCTACCATGGGGAATCATATTCTATGTGTATTATTGTCCAGATTAAATCAGCTGCTGGTGGAGGAGGTGGCGGCGGTAGCGGAGCAGGTGGTAGTAATGCTGTTATGGACAAATCGAATATGGATCGTGGTGATCTTTCTAAGATTGTCATTACACGCAATCGAGTAAGTCCATAGGTATAAATATGTGTAATATTGTGGTACATGGATGATGTTCATTTTGTACTCTACAATTGGGTACGATTTTTACTTCTCGATAAAATGTACTCTCTAACAACTATAACTGTCTCTAATTTGGTGCTTATGTTATCTCCGGTACGTAGAAAATTGATCAAACAGGACAGTATTGTAACGCTTGCTTGAATAATTCCCAGCTAAATCCTATTGCTTAGTATTATCTGACCACAATACACTGGACAAGTTCCCAGGAATCAAAAACACGGTTGAACAGGAAAAGATTATATTCCGAATAGCAAGGTTAAATGGAAATAAGAAGCCAAAGGTGATGGCGAAAGCAAAGATAGATACAACGTTAGTTTCTTTGTAGCATTTACATGAGAAGCTTCTTCATAGAAATTCACGTGATCGACTGGATTAGATTCAGCCAATTAGCATGCAGCTAACAACACGAAAATTTTTTATCCTGTTCTCCAAGAATCGATCAAGCGCTGATTGGATTAGGAAATTAGCCAATCAGAGCGCAGCAAGGTATTCATGCTTTAATTCCATCTATGTCCCACTAACAGACAACCTACCTCTAGTGTTATCATCTCTTCTTTCTGTTTTGTGCTACAACAAACTTTCTTTCGGTATGTGTAACTAGTCACTTCTAGGGTTGTAGGTATTTCGGATATTGAAAAGCTTTTGGGTTACTCGAAAAGTAAACATGATTTTTGCCAAGCTGTTTCATTTTATATCAGCTTAATCTGAATAAAGAAAAATACTAAAGTGTACTGTAGTGACAAGTTGAGCAAACCATGTCATCTAATGATTTTTTTATGACGGAAAGATGACGACACCATCTCAGTTCATCCAGTTGCTAACTTCACAAACACACTGGTCTGTGTGGCATACTCTTTAGATGTTTCTTCTACAAAATATAGCACAGTACAATTTATTTAAGATTTGAAGAGTTGAAATATTTCATAAACCGCGTAAACTTACGCATATTTTACTTCTATACTGCGTGTCAGTCAGTCAGTAACACCTTAGGACTTCGTACGTACATATATCAGTTCAAATTGCCACACCACATTCGCACAGAGACCTTGAATGTCATTGCTCACAGTGGCACAAGTGCATCCACTCTTTGCGTTCTCTCAAATTCTAACCTTCTGAATTCCTCTTCATCTCTGTCTTTCGTTTTCTAAATTTATCTCACTGAATTATACTTCTCGAATCATAGCTTCGAACCCTAATCTTTTCCATTACTAGTAATACTTCTGCTATCGCTGCGACTATGCGAATTGAACTGACAGTTGCGTCTCTGTTCTAATACGTTACGGCAACCTGAACTGATGTACGTATGTACGTTCAAAGTTCTCCATTGTAACTGATTGACTAACAGACAGCACATTTTAACAATGTGCTGTCACGTTTATTTGCTAACATTCAACATTGAAAACACTATATTAAAAAACGAAATCAAAAAACAACATGAATTATGCACAATTTGACATTTTCGTCTATTTGCTTGTATTCTCTAGTCGGGACGTATTATACGCTGCAAAGATGATGACGAAATGGGTGATGAATCGAACAGGTAGGTGTGATATTCATTGATTCAATTAATCGATAATTGTTTGTGATTATTATTATTATTATTACTATTATTTACTCAATTTATCTGTGTGTGTATGTGTGTCTCGTTTGGTGTTTCAACACGTTTACGATGTTATTCATTTAGTGTATTGTTCTCTTGTATTTTCGTTTTTTTTTCTGTAAAATATAACCATCATTAATTTTTTTTAGAAAAAATATTCTAATTGAATATGATCTTTGTTTATTTATCGAATTGTGCAACTGCATAGATTTTTATCATATCACTATCATAGATCAATGTTGTCATTAGAGTTAGGGTATAAGTGTGTGTGTGTGTGTGTCTGTGACGTGTTATATGGACTGAATGAATATCATCCATCGATCAGAATTTTTTTTGGTATTATGATATAGAGAATAAATGAGTAGGAAGGATTTGATTTGATTATGACTGATTTGGTCTCGCGTGCTGTTACGGGTATGAGGGCGGTTGTCACTTCCCGGCTTCCCAAACCGTGAAAGGTTGTTTCTTGAGGAACCTGAGAAGGAAGATAGATTACTGTTGGTCTGAACGACCTGGTTGCGTGACCGCAGAGTCCAAAGGACAACTGCCTGAGGCCGGTCACGCACGGTCTTTTTATGAAAAGTTTTTTGAGGATTAGCCCCCCTCTTGCAAGTCCTTAGTGTCCATCCGTACCGCCGGAGACGGAAATCCGTGTGGTACGCTGTGGTGTGACATTTTTTAGGGTCGACCTTTTCTAACCCTTCCTTCCTTGTGAGAAGGCAGCATCGCTGCAGGTGATGCTTGTTGTCCGAGGGAAACACCTAACTGCTGTCACACCCCTCTGCAGTCGGTCAGCAGTACGACTTTGCGCTCAGACCTGGAGTAGCTGCTTCTAGTCTTATCGTTCTCCAATTGACCTGCCTGGTATGGTAGAACCTTCAGGAACATATGTTCCAGCCAATATAGCTCGGTTAGGTCATGACGATAAGCAAGCCTGACCACTACGTGTCAAGGTATCAGCTTCGGTCGGAATAACTGAGTAATGAAATTTTAATTGTATCACGTACTAATTGTACATAATTATTAATTGGTTTTTTGTCCTCTGTTGTTGTTTGTATATGTATACACATATACATATAGATCCGAAGGATTATGGAAACGTTCTTATGATGATGATCGAAATGGTAAGAGGATAATTTTTTGTACTTACTTTTTTTGAAAAAATATTAATGAACATTGAACTCCACATATTCATTTATCTGCATTGTCATTATGGGGATTATTGGATGTTTTTCAGAGTTGTCCTTTCTCTTCGTAGCATTGATACATCTGCTCTGTTGCAAATGATTTTGAGCTATGTTGTTCAAGGTCTCTAACCATCGGTTACTAAATGTCTCGCGGAATCCAACCAGGTAGTCTATACCCTAACCAACTCTGGCTCATTCCACTCGTCAGTGACTTCATGGTTTTGTGCCATGTTTTTAGTTTGGCCGCTTGTGTTAAACCTTGAAATGTTGATTTGTGTATGTATGACGCTCGGTAGGACAAATATGTAATTTTTGACTTGAAGTAATGCTAATTGTGTGTGCGTAGAAATGTTTTGGTAATGAATTCAGTCAAACGACACAGATGCACCAGTTCTTTGACTTCTCTTTAATTCTAATCTTCCAAATTCTTGTTGACCTTTTCTCTCTTTTTAAATTTATTTTACTGGGACATCTCGAATCCTATCTTCGATCCGTAGTTTTTTTCGATTTCCAGTAATAAAACTGCTACTATCTTTACTACTAAGGGTTTTGAACTGACAATGGTATGGCTGTTTGAACTGATGTACATACGTACGCACGTACATACCAAGGTTCTACGTTATAGCTCTGACTGTCTGTCTCACTGAATGGTGATTAAAAAATTATTTCGATTGCGAATTAATTAATTAAAAACAGGTAATCCCTTTTATTACATTTTTAATAGAAACAGTGAGAGGATGTACTTCTGATCTTAAAAATTGTGATGTATTTGCGCTTTACATATTTCGACCAATCTGGTCGCACATATTTACTTGTCAGGGCATTTTATATGAAGATGAATAAAACTCCAATCACCATTCCAAATATTATTTCATACGGTTCATCCTAAGTAATTGTCACTCTAACTCTTATACAGTGATTAGTGTTTCTATGTGTGTGTGTGTGACTCAAAGCTGATTTAGCTGATGATCGCCTTATTTTATTTTGTTGTAGTTTAAGCTTATTATTACTACAAGTTGAAAAAATTGAACCTTGAACCACAATTGCAACTATCTCCTGTAAATAGTAGTGATTATTGATTTTCGACTAGTTCATTATCATCAATTCTTTTGAGAGAATACATTTGCAAAACGAAAAAAAACGGAACTTCTGTATAATTTCATATTGACACTATTGTGTAGTTCAGTTGTTAATATTCAATATTAAGCAACTGAACTACACAATAGTGTCAATATGAAATTATACAGAAGTTCTGTTTTTTTTTCGTTTTGCAAATGTATTCTCACAAAAGAATCATAATAATGAACTAGTCGAAAATCAATAATCACTACTATTTACAGGAGATAGTTGCAATTGGGGTTCAAGGTTCAATTTTTTCAACTTGTAGTAATAATAAGCTTAAACTAAAACAAAATAAAATAAGGCGATCATCATCTAAAACAGCTTTGAGTTACACACACAAACACTAATCATTGTATAAGAGTTAGATTGACAATTACTTAGGATTGTTGAAAATGAATTGTACGGAAAAAGGTTTGAAAAGGTAGTTGAAGTTTTATTCATCTTCATATCAGAATGCCTTGACAAGTGTATATATGTGTGATCAGATTGGTCGAAATATGTATAGCTCGCGAATACATCACAATTCTTCAGATCAAATTACATCCTCTCACTGTTCTATCAAAATGTATAAAAGGGATTACCTGTTTTAATTAATTAATTCGCAATCGAATTAATTTCTGAATTACTATTCAGTGAGACAGACAGTGAGAGCTATAACGTAGAACTTGGTATGTACGTAGGTACGTATGTACATCAGTTCAAACAGCCATACCATTGTCAGTTCAAATCCGTTAGTAGTAAAGATAGTAGCAGTTTTATTACTGGAAATCGAAAAAAACTACGGATCGAGGATAGAATTCGAGATGTCCCATTAAAAGCTCAAGAAGAATTCGGAAGATTGGAATTAGAGAAATCAAGGAACTGGTGCATCTGTGTCGTTTGACTGAATTCATTACCAAAACATTTCTACGCACACACAAATAGCATTACTTCATGTCAAAAATTACTAATTTTTCCTAACAACCGTCATACATACATAAATCAACTTTTCGACGTTTTACACAAGTGGCCAAACTAAAACATGGCACAAAACCATGAAGTCACTGACGAGTGAAATGAGACAGTGTTGGTAAGTGTACCTACAGACAGACAGACAGACAGATGCAACGTAAAACTTCGTACGTAAGTTACCTACCTACCTAGTTGGATTCCGCGAGACATTTAGTAACCGATGGTTAGAGACCTTGAACAACATAGCTCAAAATCATTTGCAACAGAGTAGATGTATCAGTGCTACGAAGAGAAAGGGACAACTCTGACAAACATCCAATAATCCCCATAACAACAATTCAGATAATTGAATATGAGGAGTTCAATGTTCATTAATATTTTTTCAAAAAAAAGTAAGTACAAAAAATGATCATCTTACCATTTCGATCATCATCATAAGAACGTTTCCATAATCCTTCGGATCTATATGTATGTGTATACATATACAAACAACAACAGAGAACAAAAAAAACTAATGAATAATTATGTACAATTAGTACGTGATACAATTAAAATTTCATTACTCAGTTATTCCGACCGAAGTTGCTACCTTGACACGTGATGGTCGGGCTTGCCTATCGTGATCACCCAACCGAGCTATATTGGCTGGAACATATGTTCCTCAAGGTTCTACCATGCCAGACAGGTCGATTGGTGAACAATGAGACTAAAAGCAGCTACTCAAGGTCCGAGAGTGAAGTCGTACTGTAGAGGGATGTGACAGCAGTATGGTGTTTCCCTCGGACAACCAGCATCTGCAGCGATGCTGCCTTCTCACAATGGGAGGGAAATAAAAGGAAACTTCAACCCTAAGAATGTCACACCTCACCTTACCTCACGGATTTCCGTCTCCGGCGGTACGGGTGCCCACTAAGGGCTTTCAAGAGCGGAGCTAATACTCAGAATACCTTTCATAAAAAGGCCATGCGTGACCGGCCTCAAGCAGTTGTCCCTCGGGCTCTGCGGTCACGCAACCAGTGTCGTTCAGACCAACAGTAATCTAATCTTTCCTTCTCAGGTTCCTCAAGAAACAACCTTTCACGGTTTGGGAAGGGCCGGGAAGTGACCACCACGCCCTCTATACCCTCGTAAACAGCGACGCGAGACCAAATCGGTCATAATCAAATCAAATCCCTCCTACTCATTTATTCTCTATATCATAATACCAAAAAAAAATTCTGATCGATGGATGATATTCATTCAGTCCATATAACACGTCACAGACACACACACACACACACAAACTTATACCCTAACTCTAATGACAACATTGATCTATGATAGTGATATGATAAAAAACCTATGCAGTTGCACAATTTAAATAAATAACAAATTAACGATCATATTCAATTAGAATATTTTTTCTAGAAAAAATTATTGATGGTTATATTTTACAGAAAAAAAACAAAAATACAATGAGAACAATACACTAAATGGATAACATCGTAAACGTGTTAAAACACCAAACCGAGACACACACACACAGAGATAAATTGAACAAATAATAGTAATAATAATAATTAATCACAAACAATTATCGGGATTTAATGTAACGTCAATGAAATATCACACCTTACCTTGTTTTCGATTCATCACCCATTTCGTGTCATCATCTTTGTGACAGGCGTATCAATACCGTCCCCGACTAGAGAATACAAGTAAATAGACGAAAATGTCAAATTGTGCATAATTCATGTTGTTTTTTGATTTCGTTTTTTTAATATAGTGTTTTCAATGTTGAATGTTAGCGGAATAAAAGTGACAAGCACATTGTTAAAATGTGCTGTCTGTTAGTCAATCAGTTTACAATGCAGAACTTTGAACGTAACATACGTACATCAGTTTCAGGTTGCCCATAACGTATTAGAACAGAGACGCAACTGTGCGTAGTCGCTAGCGATAGCAGAAGTATTACTAGTAATGGAACAGATTAGGGTTCGAAGGCGTATGGATTCGAGAAGTATAAATTCAGTGAGATAAATTTAGCAAAAACGAAAGACAGAGATGAAGAGGAATCAGAAGGGTTAGAATTTGAGAGAACGCAAAGAGTGGATGCACTTGTGCCACTGTGAGCAATGACATTCAAGGTCTGTGTGCGAATGTGGTATGACAATTTGAACTGATATATGTACGTACGAAGTCCTACGGTGTTACTGACTGACTGACACACAGTAAAGAAGTAAAATATGCGTAAGTTTACGCGGTTTATGAAATATTTCAACTCTTCAATCTTAAATAAATTGTACTGTGCTATATTTTGTAGAATGAAACATCTAAAGAGTATGCCACAACAGACCAGTGTGTTTGTGAAGTTAGCAACTGGATGAATTGAGATGGTGTCGTCATCTTTCCGTCATAAAAAAATCATTAGATGACATGGTTTGCTCAACTTGTCACTACAGTACACTTTATTATTTTTTCTCTATTCAGATTAAGCTGATATAAAAATGGAACAGATTGGAAAAAATCAGGTTTTTTCGAGTATTCCAAAAGCTTTTCAATATCCGAAATACCTTCAACCCTAGAAGTGACTAGTTACACATACCGAAAGAAAGTTTGTTGTAGCACAAAACAGAAAGAAGAGATGATAAACACTAGAGATAGGTTGTCTGTTAGTGGGACATAGATGGAATTAAAGCATGACTACGTTGCTGCGCTCTGATTGGCTAATTTCCTAATCCAATCAGCGCTTGATCGATTCTTGGAGAACAGGATAAAAAATTCTCCTGTTGTTAGCTGCATGCTAATTGTCTGAATCTAATCTAGTCGATCACGTGAATTTCTATCCAGAAGTTTCTCATGTAAATGCAACAAAAGAACTAACGTTGTATCTATTTTTGCCTTCTTTGCTTTCGCCATCACCTTTGGCTTCTTATTTCCATTTAACCTTGCTATTTGGAATATAATCTTTTCCTGTTCCACCGTGTTTTTGATTCTTTGGAACTTGTTCAGTGTATTGTGGTCAGATAATACTAAGCAATAGGATTTAGCTGGGAATTATTCAAGCAAGCGTTACAATACTGTCCTGTTTGATCAATTTTCTACGTACCGGAGATAACATCAAGCACCAAATTAGAGACAGTTATAGCTGTTAGAGAGTACATTTTATCGAGAAGTAAAAATAGTACCCAATTGTAGAGTACAAAATGAACATCATGCATGTATCAAAATAATATACCCATATGCACTTACTCGATTGCGTGTAATAACAATCTTAGAAAGATCACCACGATCCATATTCGATTTGTCCATAACAGCATTACTACCACCTGCTCCGCTACCGCCGCCACCTCCTCCACCAGCAGCTGATTTAATCTGGACAATAATACACATAGAATATGATTCCCCATGGTAGGCATACAACATTAAATCCCGTTGTTTAGTTGTGTTTAATTAAAAATGAACGCATAAACTTGCCCTCTCTCTAATCAGCAGAGATTGCTGGAAAAGAATGATTTTTTTTGGCTTGCAAAAATATGTATACATACTGATATACTTTTTCTTAAATATATATACAGAAATAATTAGTTCTAGGCCTTCTTCAATCGGCATTTTCATAAATCAGGCAACAGATGATGATCAGATAACAACAACCCGATGGTAATCAATATTTATTTTACGTTCTATAACAGTTTTCCTCTCTCTCTCTCGCGTACGCGCGCGCTCTACGGACTCAAATTTTTGTTTTTAGCAAAAAACCATTTTATTTCTCGTCATCTACAATAAAAATATCTATTAAATCTAAAAGAAGAAGAATAATTATTGGAGTACTACACACATGGTTGATACACTCTTTCACAATGATTGTTGTTGATATTTAGCAATAACAACGCATGTATCAATCAATCACTGAATCTTCCATGAACCATTTCCTTCCTCCGGTTTTATTCAAATTGACAAAGAATTAATTGAATGATGTGATGAGATGGTTGCTTTCTTGAAGAAATTTAAAGTTTGTTATAGGCGCTAGCTCTGAAATAAATGAAAGCTAAATAATTATGAAATAAAAGCACCTGTTTTTCTTTTTCCAGAATAGAAAAACAATTCAGCTGACTTGAAATTTCTGGATCCAACAATTATTAATCATACAAATATTCGGAGTAGTAGTATGGTGAAAATCTCTAAAAAAACAGGGCTGTTTTTTTTTGATTTCTTGGTTTCCACCGACAATAGTGTGAAGAAATAATATGTAGGAGAGATAGTCTTTTCTCTGGAGTTTCACTCTGTAATTTATTATATGCACCAGCGTATTTATATATAGAGAGAGGTATACTCACAGGGATATGTGAAGAATTTAGCAGCATATTTTTTTCACCATACACCACTGTCCCTATCATTTCCACATATATAAATACGCACATATATATATGTATATATACACTAGCTAGTATTGCTCAGAGCCATTTCGCTCTGTTTCGTTTCCTGTGCTTCACATAGAACAATTTTAATCGCTCTACAAAAAAACGAAAACTCGTTTTTGATTAGTAAAATATTCATTAAGAAGATAAGAGGATTAGGTCAGTAGTGTGTGTGTATAGGCTAGAATGCATGCATTTAAACATAGAAAATGAGAACATGCATATGTTAAACAAATAAATGAATATAAATCACAAAAATATAATTACTTGGTACTGTACTGTACTGTACTGTGTTGAACTACTTGATATAATACAATTGACAACGGCGTCTCTGAATTGATGCACGTACATACGAAGTTCTACGTTGTAGCTGACTGACTTATACAATACAAGTTAACTTACGTCACTTCAGTAGCATCCTATATGGCTGATATGATTATATTAACACATACGAATAAGAGTAATTCAAACTATATCAATCAAATATCCTTTCTGATGATAATCTTACTAGATGTTACCCAGTAAACAATATTGTCTTGCGGTTGTGATTAGTGCGACAGTAACTTGTCTAATATATACTTTACTATATACTTAATACTATTCGTGTAGTATGGCTAAGAATCAGTCTCAATGGCACAGATGTATATATATATATATATATATATATATATATATATATATATATATATATATATATGTTCACTGTTTGTGAAACGAGAAAATAGAAACACAAGGAAACAGTACTTAGTATTCACACTTAAAATGCACTACGATTTTACAGGCAGCAATGGACAGTATCATTACTTGTGATAAACAAGAAAGATTAGTTCACCTAGTTAGTGTGTGTACGGTGTGAATTCCCCAGAGACAGTACAATCACTGTTAATCAACAACATCGATTTCCCAACTGAATATCAACATGGAAAAGACAAAATCCTAATAAATAATGCTTACATCATCACGATAATAATCTCCTCTTCGTCGTTCATGGGTGCGATCTGAAATTGAAAGTCAAATTACAATGAAAGTTTGAAAACCATATGAAAATGTATCATCGCAGTACACTGTGATATAGCTAGTACAGAAATAAAAAGGAATGCTACACTTACTGGGAGACAAAAATCCTGGAGGACTATGGTCCGGTGCGTGGTTTTGACGATTAGCTTCTTTAGCAGCACGTCGACTACGATCTTCTTCAACGAGCTGTTCTAGAGCAGCTCTGCTACGTTCCATATGAGAGGCATAACCTGCACTTGGACGAACGGCAGTTGGAGAAAGAGGAGTGTGATCACGTCTGTTACCGCCTATATTTCGACTTGAACCACGTGGAGAGGGCGTTCGTGACCAGGATCGCTATACGACAAAAAAGAACCACAACATATCAATATGAGATAATATCCGATGAGAACACATAAAAGTCTATTCTAACTACTATCATCATTATCTACATACCAAACCAGCATCTTTGTTATTAGAAAGAGATCCATTAGTTTGGAGTTCTTTCAGTGCATCTCGAGCTTCATTATTGTCAGGATCCAATTTGATTGCACGATTCAACAACTGTTCTGCCTTGCTTATTTCCTTACGCCCAATTCTGCAAAGAATGATAACATTTTACACACACACACATAAAGAAGCGATTTAGTCAAACAGCTAAAGAAGCTTTTACATTACTGATTTCAAATTGCAGTCAACGCGTCTTTTGTGTCAGATAGATGCCAAATACAAAAAAAACAGTAAAATTCTGTGACTAGAGATCAAAACATCAATTTCATACATGACTGGCTTTATCCAGCCCTTTTTAGCCATGCTTTTTTCGTTTTCAAAGAAGGATAGTTGCGATTGTTTGCAATAGCTGAGAGCTGCGAAATCCTACTTTTAGTTTCTTCATCAGTACTATGCATCCAATAGGATCAAGCTACAATACTAGTAATTATCATCCTAACCATGTTTGCGTCCCAATTAACAGATTACGTTTATTTTTTTTTTCAATTACAGTTATGGAGATTAGTGTTTCATGAATTAATCAATGTTAGACCATCATTAGAAATCTGGAAGCACTGGACGACCGTTTCATCCTGGCATGGGACTCATCCAACAGTGAGTATTCACGACTCCTGCATCGCGCAGGATTTGAACCCAAGACCTTTGGCGTAGAGCACTAGGACGGTATCCAACGGTGTTCATGTTTAATGATGGTCTAACAATGATTAACTGATTGATGACAATGTTTGCAAGCATTTTTCTAACGTATTTTTCGTCTCCTATATATTTATGTCAACTGCTACCAATAGATGATGAGATTTAGTTAGTTTGCATAGTTTAATAAATTCATCCCCCATCAAGTGACTATCAATGCTACTACTAGTTCTTGTGATAAAATTCGTTCCGAATGTTTAATTTTCTCATCTTAATCATGATGACTTACGCTTTCTTTTTCTTCTTGTTAGTATTCTTCTCTAATGAATTGTTGTGACAACTACAAGTGATGCACATTAGATATATAATATATATAGAAAGATAGATAGATAGACAGATAGATAGATATAATAACATTAGATATCGTAATATTTAATTTTATCCGTACTTAACACACAAATTACAAAACTTACTCGCCAGCATAGGCAACTAGTGTCTGGACCAGATAATTCTTAGCATTCACATGATTCGGTTGAATTTCAAGACTTTTCTCTAAATCTTCTACTGCTTTTGTGTACGTACCGATTGAGGCATAACTTTATGAACATAAAATAAAAAGAATATATAACATATAAGTACATAAAGACTAAGTAAAAATAATTAGGATACTACAACTACTACTAATGGTATTCGTCTGTTCAGAGCACAAGGTCGTGGTATTTGGCTTCGAACCAAATCATAAGTATGATGATACTACCGGGTTGCTGCTACTTTGTCGTGGTGGTCGAGTTTGCCTATCGAGCTACATTGGCTGAAACATATGTTCCTGAAGGTTCTACCATGCCAGGCAGGTCGATTGGAGAACGATGAGACTAAAAGCAGCTACCCAAGGTCTGAGGGCGATGTCGTACTGTTGACTGCAGAGGGGTGAAACAGCAGTAAGGTGTTTCTCTCGGACAATCAGCATGTGCAGCGATGCTGACTTCTCACAAGGAACGAAGGGTTAGAAAAGGTCGACCCTAAAAATGTCACACCTCATCCTACCTCACGGATTTCCGTCTCCGGCAGTAAAGCCTTTTAAACAAGAACGGAACTAACACTTTAAATACTACCCATAAAAAGGCCGTGCGTGACTGGACTCAAGCAGCTGTCCCTTGGAATCTGCGGTCACGCTCCCAGGTCGTTAAGACCAACGGTAATCTGCCTTCCTTTCCAGGTTACTCAAGAAACATCCTTCGACGGTGTGGGCAGGCGGAAAGTGACATCCACCCTCATACCCGTAAAGTCACGCGAGACCAAACTGGTCACAAACAAAACCTGATTGCCCGAACCGAATTAGTTAAGAGGGTTAATTTACTGTAGTGCTTTATTCGGCTATGGAGCTTCTTTGATACTTACAGGCATCATACGAGCAGGTTTAGTTAAAAAAAACAATGAAATGGCCATTAAATTGTGCGATAATTCAATACATATTAATACACGATTGTTTAACTATTATAACTACCTGTTTACTTTGTCTTTTTTAAAAATAAAAAAACGTTATCCAGCTACGAACGTTAAACATATTTTAATGATAAACATATATTTATACAGTGGAACATATATCCAAAATGAAATATGATTATATCATGATTACAAGCCTACACACTGGATCAATATCAATATGTAATTTGAACAACACAAATACTGATGTAACCAACTTACAGAGCACCACGGGCAACATAGGCATCTGGATTAGTTGGTTCAACTTCAATTGCAAAATTGTAACATTGTAATGCTTCAGTATTTCGACTTTCTTTGAAATATTTCACACCTTGAGCGACACTAATAACAAAATGAAAGATAAATTAGAAAAGGGTTAGTTAAGATTGGATAATAGGGATGCTGCTATAATATTGATATTATTGTTATCGTTGTTAGTTTTCTAGATCGGACAATAATGTTATTATATTTTCGAATAGATAAGACAATTATTTTTCGTTTTCACTATGATTATTACATTCAGACAGACAGAGAGAGAGAGATACAACGCAGAACTTCGTACGTACGTACATCAGTTCATGTTGCCATACCACATTAGCACAAAGACGCAACTTTCAGTTCAAATCTAATAGTGGTAGAGATATTAAAAGTATTACTGGTAGTGGAGAAGGTTAGGGTTCGAAGATATTATTCCAGAAGTATAATTCAGTGAGATAAATTTAGCAAGAGACGATGAGGAATTTAGGAGGTTAGAATTTGAGAGAACACAATGAATGGATGCACCTGTGCCATTGCAAACAATTTTGAGCCATGTCATTCAAGGTCTCTAACCATTGGTGACTTTCTTCCTGCGTACCCCAACCAGGTAGTCGACACCTACCGACATGACTTAGTTCACTTGTCAGTGATTTCATGTATTTCTGCCATGTTTTGGTTTGGCCGCCCCTAGCTTTCTTCCAACCTACTCCTACACAACAAAACATAGCTTGTCGAGGCAGTCGGTGGTTAGCGACACGTAACACTGATGATTACATTAGAACCGCATTGACAATAGTACACATAAAAATGCTTACTGTTTCATTGAGAAATTCAACAACTGAGTACGTCTCAATTCACAAGCCATTTCGGATTTTGGTAATCGGATTCTACAAACAAGAAAAAAAAATATGTGGTTATCCAAGTGTAAACACAGAGTTTGGAATTTTTTCTGCAATTTCTAAATCATTAATCGATGCATAAAACAAGTTAAAAATACATGATTAAAAAAAAATATCACTGGTACGTATTTCATGTAGACTATAGATGATAAATGCCTCTACGTAATCTTACTTATTAATACAAAATAGTAGACTACAAGCTGATGAACGTGGTATTCCCATACGAGCGCACAGAACTTGTAGTCCATCTGGATTACGAAATTGCGGTGTTGATTCAAGATAGGCTTCATACGATTTTCCGTCCAAATTTTGAAGTTTTCTGATTCACAAAATTAACATAATAAGAGTGGAAATGTTAGGACAAATTTAAGAAATATTAATTAATTACTAGGAAATTTTTGAAAAAAATAAAACAAACATTTCAACTACATCAAGTCAAACTGGAATATGAATTCAATACTTGAAACAATGGATTGTAATGTAAACAACCATTGGCATTCAAAATGAGTTTTTTTTGCTCAAAAATTGGTGTTATTTAATTTTGTGGATTACAGAAACAACTGAAAGACAATTGATACCAAAGTAAATTAATCAGCAGGACCTTACGCTGTAACCTATTCCTAACCTAGGAATTACTTACTCAGAAAATTTCGGTATGTCAGTTTTACTATTGACATTGTATTATTTAACAATTCCTGGAAACCACATACACCCTTCTAACTCCGCCTGAAGCCTCTCTGGGGTTACTCCCGGCCCCAAGCCCGGATAAAGGCGGAGGGTCGGGCACGGGGTTGGCGACCCTAACCCATAAAAAAAACTAACTCGCTAAGAAAACGCTGACCAAAAATTATAATTCAAACAGTTTTAACTCTGCCCTGGAAGTTAGGTCTTCTTTCAGAGGAGTTATGATGTTTCATGATGAAAGTCGAGTTTCTTAGGAAATAGAGAAAGATATGCGAAGAATGAACAAAAGTTGGATAGAAGTGAAAAGGTAGGCCCAGGAAAGAGTAGGTTGGAGCAATGTGGTAACTAAGTAAGATGCACGCATCTATATTGTCTTTTTAGTTGGAATCTTTGCTCTTTCCTCAATTTCAATTTACACTTGTTATACTGTAAGGTGTGACAATTCACTAGTAGGTTATATGTTACATCTGAAATACAGATTGGCAGCCCCAGACTAATTTGTGTACTAAACCGTGAGGAACAACGATATTACCATTCTGATTGAAAATCGATCACAACTATACCATAACACAAAGGGTGTTTAAAATATACGTGGTAAACTCGTGATTAAAAATGTTTATTGAAATATTTTTAAAATTTTTTAAATGTACTTACTTGTAATACAGAGGCATATCATCATCAGTTATGATACCCTAGAAAAAAAACAAATGGAAAAGAATTCATAAATAGAGATAATAGAACATAAAAAGGAAGATTATTGGTGTAGATTGTAATTTTTCAACTTACCAGCTTCAAATCTCCATAGATATCACGATTAAGCATTTTTGCATTCATGCTTAATATTAGACGTCCACCTCCATGAATGTCGAGAATAAATGCTATAATGCAAATTTTTGAAATAGTAAATTTAATTTATCAGTTAGTTATGAAATCAAAGTTAAGCATCAACTGCTTATTTAAAATGCGGTTTGTAGAGAAACGGCCGATCTGGTAGTTTGTCGCTTAAGAAATAAAATGTGAGTAGAAACGAGCGTCCAAAGATGTAAAATAATCGGACTATGGTATTCACTACATTGTATTTCAAACTAATATAAGATCAGCGGGATAGTTTAGAGATGCAAGTTTTTCCAACTACTGAGTGGTTAGGTATTGTGTATTACGGATTTCAAGACAAACAACTGGTATATACCATAGGGATTTGACTTATTTAACGATACCGTCAACGATTCAAAAAGTGGATTGTCAACCGCCAGGTAGTGTTTGTATATTCTAGTTATTCGTTAGCAGCTAGGAATCGCTGACACTTCTTACAAAACACACACCCAGCTTTTCAGCATACAAAACCTTATGCGTGTTACCTGGTAAACACCTAGATGATCAGTAATACAAGAACATGCACATAAAGTCACAAAAAGCTACTCACCACGAACTTTATCACCGATTTGAAAAGCATCCAAAGCGTTGCCGTGAGCATTATATCGCGGAAGCTGTCGCAATGGACAAAAGCCCTAAAGAACGAACATATAAAGATTGGTAAAAAGACAATTACCGTAATTTTTAGACCTTCAAAATCACGCCGAGGTCCTTGATCATATGCCAGAATAGAGACAACAAGACCGGAGTCTTGTATTACACTGATAACACCAACTAGTACATCATCACGTCGACATGTCTAATGCAAAAAGAAACATTTGATTAGAAATCGAAATATTAGCAAAAAATACATACAACATTCGTGAACAGTATACATGTTTCCACTTATCGAATACAGATTTATGCACTCAGTTCTAAGCTATTTAGGCGAGGGCTAATGATCCTATCTGACTGCCAGAAATGAAGTAGGTGAAACGGCATTTAGACCTGAGACCTACTGGATGTAATTTAGTTACTTTAGTCATTTAGCTACTACTCTCAAATAGTATAAACATTAGGTATATCTACGATGACGGTTAGCAACAACGCAAGAACCTGGCACAGAGCTATATGGGGTCAAATTGCTACGTCGATACAGTGAGATTAAATTATAGAGATGAATACGGGAGTATTTTCAATTCTTTATGTATACTAAGAGGATAACCTTATCATCATCCTGGTCTGTATGATAAAAAGACACCATTCAGGCTCTTTAAAACCTGAACAGCAGTAGTGAAATCCCAAATTAATCATGATATAGTGTCAAACAGCATAGATGGGATTCACAGTATATTAAGATCGATGGTTAAGAGTTGGCATACGATTCGAAACAAGGGTTTAGTGTTTACAGCAGGTGAACTAACTAATTTGAACTAATCACTTTGGACTAGTGAACAGGTGTGATTCAGTACCACTGAAATTTTTTTCGACTCTGAGATACTTTCGGTATTAGCGACAATGAGAATGCCGAAACTAGAATAGATGAAACAAGGCTTTACCATCTAGTTTAATGGTTAAAAATGAAGTGCTACATTCGCCACTTCTTATCAGAATCAAAAATATACAATCAAACATGAGTATTTATACAATATATAAATGTCGTTAAATATTTTGAACATGAATCAAATAGTTCATTGAATGAATATTTATCATGAACATTTAATCATATAGTTCATCATTAATGAAATAGTTTATCATGAACATTAATTAAATAGTTCATCAATCACAATGTGCGTGGCTTTCTTCTCGATTGGCTATCCCAACACCTCCCCGGAATAAGATTTTTTTCTTTTTTTTTGAAGTCGTTCCAGTTCCTGTTCACTATCGGGAGAGAAGCATAGGGTACAGGAATGGCTGTTGACTTGAGAGTCAGTAGTGCGTTAGCTTTCGTACATTCGCCTAACGCTTCCGAATATACGTGATGATGCCTTTTCATTATGGCATTTCTCAGACTTGACTTCAAGGGGTTATTGATTTTTACTCGGCTGCAGATGTTGTTGATAGAATGGTCTGTTAGTTTTAATGCATCTATGAGATCCAACCCCAATAAATCAAGGTCTGGGTTCTTAGTTAAGTATACAGCTGCACTCGTTGTTGCCTCATTTTTGAAACAGTGCACAATATTTCTCCAACAATATTTAATTTGCCACCAGATGCGCTGTGTGCTAGTTGCTTCGTTGGGTGAACTGTAGGTCTTAATTTTCTCTCAAGTTTTTGGACTGATAAGGGTGATGTCAGATGCTGTGTCAAGTTGAAGACGGATATGGTGTGAATTCATATCCAAAGTCACATACTTTCTTCTTTGGTGAATTCTTGTCTGATTATGAGACACCAATACTTTGTTTATTGGCTTACCAGAACTGTATTTCTTGGAATTGACTTTCGCGGAGTAATGTCTGCGAGTTTTTGTCCTACATCGGGTTTCTTTGTGACCCTTTTTGTGACATTTAGAGCAAACATAATCTTTGTATGGACAAAACTTCTTGTAGTGCCAAACTCCACATGACCAGCATGGAGATGAGGGCTGGTTGTCTGTGCTCTTATGATGCTTTTGTGAGCCGGAATTTTTCTTTTCACTAACGGCATGCACGTATGATGGACGGCCATTGTTTTCGACCATGGAGGTATCATGCATCGAATTTACGAATCTCTGGCACTCTGCAGTTATTTCTTGAAGCGAGATGTTTGGGCACTGCTCAATTTTACTTAGGATTCTGGTTCTTATATCAGCATCTTCGGGAGATTGTAAGCTGCACACGAACACGAGGCACTTAAACTGATATTCCGTCATTGATGATAATTTAAATCGTTCGCATTCACGATTTACTAAGCCGGCGTGCTTTACCCAGTCATCTTCATTTGACTTGGTTATTTTGAAGCATTGATAACAAATATTAAAGAGAGATGACTGTTCAGAGACGATTTGCGACAGCGTTTCAATTGTGGCATCAAACGAGAAATCTCGTGGGTTCTTTGGGAGGATGAAATTACTATAACGTTTGTGTTCGATTGTGCCGAGCTTTCTCAGGAGGATTCTGACTTTGGTTTGTTGAGGTCGACCTTGAACAAATCCTCATACTTCTGGAACCAAGACTCGAAAGTCACACCAGCAAGGCCATCAAAATGAAATTCATGAATGGAATTAACTATCGAGTCTGTATGTGGATTATATGAGTCGTTTATAAGACCTCTGTGATTCAAATTCATTTGTTTCATTAACGACTCCAACATACGTTCCTGGAACTGTTCATATCGTTTTCCTTGACGTTCCAGTAAAGATTCTATCTGTTCAAGGGTAATTGACATTGTGAATTGTTAGCCGCGTCGCCACTTTTATGTTTTGTACTTGATGTAACGCCAAACCACTGTACTAATGACACACCGAACGTTAGACCCCTCCGTTCAAAAATAAGAAGACGGAAGACGTTGGAGAACACTTCTTATCAGAATCAAAAATATACAATCAAACATGAGTATTTACACAACTATATAAATGTCGTTAAATATTTTGAACATGAATCAAATAGTTTATCATGAACAATAATCATATAGTTCATCATTAACGAAATAGTTTATCATGAACATTAATCATATAGTTCATCAATCCACAATGTGCGTGGCTTTCTTCTCGATTGGCTATCCCAACACCTCCCCGGAATAAGATTTTTTTCTTTTCATTTTCTTTTTTCTTTGAAGTCGTTCCAGTTCCTGTTCATTTATCGGGAGAGAAGCATAGGGTTCAGGAATGGCTGTTGACTTGAGAGTCAGTAGTGCGTTAGCTTTCGTACATTCGCCTAACGCTTCCGAATATACGTGATGATGCCTTTTCATTATGACATTTCTCAGACTTGACTTCAAGGGGTTATTGATTTTTACTCGGCTGCAGATGTTGTTGATAGAATGGTCTGTTAGTTTTCATGCATCTATGAGATCCAACCCCAATAAATCAAGGTCTGGGTTCTTAGTTAAGTATACAGCTGCACTCGTTGTTGCCTCATTTTTTGAAACAGTGCACAATATTTCTCCAACAATATTTAATTTGCCACCAGATGCGCTGTGTTCCAGTTGCTTCGTTGGGTGAACTGTAGGTCTTCCAATTTTCTCTCAAGTTTTTGGACTGATAAGGGTGATGTCAGATGCTGTGTCAAGTTGAAGACGGATATGGTGTGAATTCATATCCAAAGTCACATACTTTCTTCTTTGGTTAATTCTTGTCTGATTATGAGACACCAATACTTTGTTTATTGGCTTACCAGAACTGTATTTCTTGGAATCGACTTTCGCGGAGTAATGTGTGCGTGTTTTTGTCCTACATCGGGTTTCTTTGTGACCCTTTTTGTGACATTTAGTGCAAACATAATCTTTGTATGGACAAAACTTCTTGTAGTGCCAAACTCCACATGACCAGCATGGAGATGAGGGCTGGTTGTCTGTGCTCTTATGATGCTTTTGTGAGCCGGAATTTTTCTTTTCACCAACGGCATGCACGTATGATGGACGGCCATTGTTTTAGACCATGGAGGTATCATGCTTCGAATTTACCAATCTCTGACACTCTGCAGTTATTTCTTGAAGCGAGATGTTTGGGCACTGCTCAATTTTACTTAGGATTCTGGTTCTTATATCAGCATCTTCGGGAGATTGTAAGCTGCACACGAACACGAGGCACTTAAACTGATATTCCGTCATTGATGATAATTTAAATCGTTCGCATTCACGATTTACTAAGCCGGCGTGCTTTACCCAGTCATCTTCATTTGACTTGGTTATTTTGAAGCATTGATAACAAATATTAAAGAGAGATGACTGTTCAGAGACGATTTGCGACAGCGTTTCAATTGTGGCATCAAACGAGAAATCTCGTGGGTTCTTTGGGAGGATGAAATTACTATAACGTTTGTGTTCGATTGTGCCGAGCTTTCTCAGGAGGATTCTGACTTTGGTTTGTTGAGGTCGACCTTGAACAAATCCTCATACTTCTGGAACCAAGACTCGAAAGTCACACCAGCAAGGCCATCAAAATGAAATTCATGAATGGAATTAACTATCGAGTCTGTATGTGGATTATATGAGTCGTTTATAAGACCTCTGTGATTCAAATTCATTTGTTTCATTAACGACTCCAACATACGTTCCTGGAACTGTTCATATCGTTTTCCTTGACGTTCCAGTAAAGATTCTATCTGTTCAAGGGTAATTGACATTGTGAGTTGTAAGCCACTTTTATGTTTTGTACTTGATGTAACACCAAACCACTGTACTAATGACACACCGAACGTTAGACCCCTCCGTTCAAAAATAAGAAGACGGAAGACGTTGGAGAACACTTCTTATCAGAATCAAAAATATACAATCAAACATGAGTATTTACACAACTATATAAATGTCGTTAAATATTTTGAACATGAATCAAATAGTTTATCATGAACAATAATCATATAGTTCATCATTAACGAAATAGTTTATCATGAACATTAATCATATAGTTCATCAATCCACAATGTGCGTGGCTTCCTTCTCGATTGGCTATCCCAACACCTCCCCGGAATAAGATTTTTTTCTTTTCATTTTCTTTTTTCTTTGAAGTCGTTCCAGTTCCTGTTCATTTATCGGGAGAGAAGCATAGGGTTCAGGAATGGCTGTTGACTTGAGAGTCAGTAGTGCGTTAGCTTTCGTACATTCGCCTAACGCTTCCGAATATACGTGATGATGCCTTTTCATTATGACATTTCTCAGACTTGACTTCAAGGGGTTATTGATTTTTACTCGGCTGCAGATGTTGTTGATAGAATGGTCTGTTAGTTTTCATGCATCTATGAGATCCAACCCCAATAAATCAAGGTCTGGGTTCTTAGTTAAGTATACAGCTGCACTCGTTGTTGCCTCATTTTTTGAAACAGTGCACAATATTTCTCCAACAATATTTAATTTGCCACCAGATGCGCTGTGTTCCAGTTGCTTCGTTGGGTGAACTGTAGGTCTTCCAATTTTCTCTCAAGTTTTTGGACTGATAAGGGTGATGTCAGATGCTGTGTCAAGTTGAAGACGGATATGGTGTGAATTCATATCCAAAGTCACATACTTTCTTCTTTGGTTAATTCTTGTCTGATTATGAGACACCAATACTTTGTTTATTGGCTTACCAGAACTGTATTTCTTGGAATCGACTTTCGCGGAGTAATGTGTGCGTGTTTTTGTCCTACATCGGGTTTCTTTGTGACCCTTTTTGTGACATTTAGTGCAAACATAATCTTTGTATGGACAAAACTTCTTGTAGTGCCAAACTCCACATGACCAGCATGGAGATGAGGGCTGGTTGTCTGTGCTCTTATGATGCTTTTGTGAGCCGGAATTTTTCTTTTCACCAACGGCATGCACGTATGATGGACGGCCATTGTTTTAGACCATGGAGGTATCATGCTTCGAATTTACCAATCTCTGACACTCTGCAGTTATTTCTTGAAGCGAGATGTTTGGGCACTGCTCAATTTTACTTAGGATT